CACCACCAGGAGTAATTCCTGAGTGCATGAGCCAGGAGCAACCCCTATGCATTGCCAGGTGTGACCCAAAAAGCAAAAATAAAGGGAAAAAAAAGGGAAATTCAGTGGCCTCCAGAGTAACACCCAACAGTACTGGGAAAGGGGGGACCTGGCTTCAATACGCAGTGCCAGGGTTTGAACTCAGGTTTGAATACAGCCCTGACCACTGAGCTCTCGCCCCATGCCCTATAGGCTGAACTCCAGTGACATGCCTTAGTTTCTGGGTAGGCTGAAAAAAAGCGCTCCTCGCTGGTCATCTCTCCATCCTGACCACATCCTCCTCTCATTTTTTCCCCCAACTGAAAAGCCTGATAAATAATGGATAAGAGAAAAATGAATTTGGCCTCATTGAGCTAGAGACTGAAATAAAATCCTCCTTGAAGCTATTTTAAGAAGCAACCCATGTTTGGAAAGTTTTTTGTTTCTTTCAGGGTTATAAATGTTCCAATAAATCAAGTAAGGAAATTTCTTTGGTGCAGAGAGCTGGAGAAGAGGCGGGAGAGATAGTACAGATATACAGGAGTTCAGCCGCTTGCCTTGAAGTCAGCTAAGTTTGCTTCCGTTCCAGATAGCGTAATGTCAGATTCAGCTCTGGAGGGCATTTCTGGGCACCATGTGATGGTGGAGGGAGAGGAGTTGGGGGTAGTCCCAGCTCTGTCCTCAGGCACTTGGGGCACTATATGCACTGCCAGGGATCTAACTGAGGTCAGTCATGTGCAAGGCAAATAACCCCTGTACTATACCTCTATCCCTGTTTGGATAGAGGTATGTTGTTGTTTGGTTTGGGCCACACTCAAAGATGCTCAAGACTCACTCCTGATGGATCACTCCTGGTGGGCTCAGGGGACCATAAGGGGTGCTGGGGATCGAACCCAGATCAATAGTATGCAAAGGCAAATGCCTTACTCACTGTACAACCTCTTCATCCCCGATTTGTTTTTAAGCCACCAATTTTATAAGATTTTTTAAAAAATTGTTTGGTTTTGGGTTACACCCAGCAATACTCTTGGTTCTGGACTCATAAATTACTCCTGGCAGAGCCCGGGGGACAGTATGGGATGCCAGGGATCAAACCCAAATTGGCCACGTGCAAGGCAAATGCCCTAGCCAATATTCCCTCTCTCTGGCCCCAAGAGTTTGTTGACAGCAATAGACAGATAATAAATTTATCTTTCAACTCTCCTATAGCAGGGCATTTCATTTGAATATGATATTTCAACTATTTTGCCACTTAGGGACTGTCCTTTACTTCTGCTCCGGTTCTGGGCCACAGTTCAGATAGCAGAGATTAATAGGATGTGCTCAGTGGATTGACTCCATCCACAAACACACCACCACAGTAAGACCACATGGCAGAGTGCAGCCGTGGCCAAGCCACAGGCCAAGAGCCAAGCAAAGTGGATCACTGGGCTGTATACTCCAGGACTTTGTTGTCTCACTCAGTAGGGACCAGGTTTTGGTGAAAATTCTTGATATGGAAATAAACATTTATCCCTACAAGACAAAGGCATTAATTTTCTATGAAGGTCATGTTCTTTAAGATATTCAATCTCTCTGTTGAACAATAGCTGTTTTACTTTATAGGATTCAGTAAGAATTATATTATTATAGTTTATGAAGTGCCCAACACCTCACAGAGTTAATGCTCAGTAAACAATAATAGTATCGCACCGACCTAGGATCATCATGCCCAGTAGTGAAAGATGTACTATTTCAGATTCCCAAACTGGAACCCCTACTCTTTTCTCTCTTTGCTCTGCATATTCAACATGACCTTAAGTACACCTTATGGGGTTGATTTTTTCTTTTTTCAGTTTAAGTAGCACTATAGCACTGTCCTCCCATTGTTCATCGATTTGCTCCAGCGGGCACCAGTAACGTCTCACAACAAATTGTGAGACTTGTTGTTACTGTTTTTGGCATATCAAATATGTCATGGGGAGCTTGCCAGGCTTTGCCCTACGGGCGAGATACTTGAGGTAGCTTGTGGGGCTCTCTAAGAGGGGTGGAGGAATCAAACCTGGATCGGCCGCATGCGAGGCAAACGCCCTGCACAAAATTATTGAGAATTCCTGGGAGACTGATCGTTATTGCCTCCCAACTTGGGGAGAAACTGACACTGTAGGAAATTACACATGGTCCCAGTTTCCTTGGCCAACATAGTGGAAGGAAAGGGAATCTGAAGAATAGGCCAGTCTTTGTTCCTCTTTATTGGGAAGACAGGGGCAGAGGGGACCACCACCTGATACTGGGCTGGGGAGGGCTGTGCTGGTTCCTCAAAATCCAGGGGATATTTTATATATATATGTATTATATATATATTTATATATATATATCCTCTTAGCCTCTAACAGAGGCTATGAGGACGGTATATATATACATATATAAAACATATATATAAATATATATAAAACAGAGGCTAGGAGGACTGGTCAGCAGTTGGAATCAACCACAAGTGTGTTTGGGGCAGAGGGTAGGTAAGATAGAGAAGAGACCGGTATGACAATAACAGTTGGGAGTGATCACGCTGGACAAGAACTGAGGGTTAAAATAGGTAAAGGAATGTTCTTGATAACCTTTCAGTAACAATATCGTGAACCACAATGCCCAAAAAGAGAGAGAAAAAGAAAAAGAGAGAGGAGAGAGAGAGAGAGAGAGAGAGAGAGAGAGAGAGAAAGGAAGGGAGGGAGGGACGAAGAGGGAGGGAGGGAGGGAGGGAAGGGAGGGAGGGAGGGAGGGAAAGAAAAGCACCTGCCATAAAGATAAAGGCAGGCTGGCGGGGTGATGGGAGGGAACCTGGGGACACTGGTGCTGGGAAATGGACACTGGTAGAGGGGTGGGTGTTGGAACACTGTATGACTGAAATCCAATCATGAACAGCTTTGTAAGGGTCTATCTCACAGTGATTCAGTAAAAAAGTAAAAAAAAAAAAATCCAAAGACGCAGCAGCCCCACTTGTTCTCCAGAAGGTGGAGCTGCTGAGGGAAAGATTTGCTTCCTGGGTTCCTCGGGGTCAGCTGCATGCAAGGGAAGCACCTTAACCCCAGTACTATCTCTCTGGCCTTCACTAGTCTCATGTCCTCATTTCCTTTTTTCTTTCTGTTTTTTTTGAGGGGGGGGGCAGGGATGGGGAGTGGTGGGCACACCAGGGTTAACTCCTGACCCTGCGCTCAAGGAGCATTACCAGACAGTGCTCAGGGTACCATAACATGTGTTGTCATGGATTAAATCCAGATTGTCTGCATGCAAATCAAGCACCCTACCCGCTGTGCTATCTTTCCAGACGCAGTTCTTACCCTCAATAAGATTGTCACTCCCCTGGGTTACCTTCTCTCTCCTTTTAAAAATGTGAGCCTCCCAAGCAGTGGTCTGGAGCCCAGCCTCTGGAGGGAACTATGTTGCCAGGTTGAATTCCAAGCCCAAAAAATGCAAGGCATCTGCCCTACCCCTGAGTTATCTCCCTTGAGTATACATCCTAAATACTCTAAATTGTATTTTCTCCCTGCTCTCTCTCCAGATCCACTCTCTTAGTAGAGACCTTCATTATTTCCAGACTTACGTAGTTATTTATGGTCCGGGCCCCAGCCAATTGAGTCGATTCTGCTGTCAGGGTGAGCTTTATCATTAGGATGATGTCATCACGCTCCACAGCCTGCAATCACCTGGGAAGGAGACTGCTAAAATACAGACTCCAGGTGCTGCCCTCAACTCTCCAAGATCCAGTAATGCCCAGTCTCAAAGCAGAACTCCATTCAGTAGGGGCATAGTTCAGGGAGAGGTGCTCAACTGTACTGTGTACTCAGGTCAGATGAAAGTTGGCAGACACTTCCAGTTGGCACCCGTGTCCTCACTTGACCTACTGAGTCCTTTTTTTTTTCAAAGCGTGCCCTCCCTTTTTTTTTTTTCTGTGTAGTCTGTACACCAAGATTCGCACCTTCAGGAAATGGTGCTACCAAGAATCTACCTAAAGATGGGTGGTCCATCTTTGACTTCAAACATTGCCCCCCCACCCCCATCACATTTAAACTAAGTTTGTAAATAAGGTTCCAAGAGAACAGCCTATACCTACCTCCACCTCCCACATAAGAAATGTGTCTTCTTCTAGAACACCTATGGGAGGTGTTGGTGACTGGTGAGTAAAGAGATTATTTAAACAGCCTCTAAGAGCTAGTAACAAAAATGGTCAGAGGTCCCAGGTTCCAGTCCCGGAAACAGGAAATATAATAAAGTGTCCAGGGCTGGAGCCATAGCAGAGCGGGTAGGGCATTTGGCTTCAATCTCCAACATCCCACATGGTGCCCCCCATCCCCGCCAGGAGTAATTCCTGAGTGCATGAGGCCGGAATAACCCCTGAACATTGCTGGGTGTGACCCAAAAAGAAAATAAATAAAAATGAAAAGACTAAAGTGTCTGAGTGATGGAAACGTTAAATCTGGAGATGGTGGGATTATGGGGTGTGTGTGTGTGGGGTGGAAATTTCCATCCCGAGGCCGGGACTAAGCATCTCAAAAGGCGGTCCCAGATGCCCCGAGAACATACACCCGAGTACCCCAGGTGGCAGGGATTCAAGAACTCTTCACTTTTAGACGGTGCCCCGGAGAAATTGATCGTTTGACATCTACCCTGTCCAAGAGCAGGAAGTTCTAAGGTTTCGGTAAGTTCTAACGGTAGGATAAACGTCTTCTTACATGTATTTTCTGTTCTAACGGTAGGACAAACGTCTTTTTTCGCGGGGGGGAGGGCAGGGAAATTCGCGGTGTGCCTTCCCAAAGGCCCTGCTCCGTGCCGACTATTGTGAAAGCAAGTCGCGTGCCCGGGCGGGCACAGCAGCCCCGGTCCCGCTCGAATGACGGGGCAGGGAAGGGCGCAACGGCCTGTCATGCCCCTCCCACCGGCAGACGCCGGCCCTGGCCCTGGCCCCTCCGGTCCGCGGCGCCGGGCACCCCGGCGAGCCTGGGTCCGGCGCGACACAAAGGCCACTGTCGCCCAGGCCCGGGGTGACCTCCGGGGCCGTGCGCTCGGCGGCTGGCGCTCCCGCGGCGCCCGGAGCCGGAGCCGCGCGTCATGAGCGGCCCCCTGCGGCCCAGCCCCAGCGGCTGGCGGCGGGCGGCCACCGTGCTGCTGGCCGCCGGCTGGCCGCGAGCCGGCGCGACCGTCGCGACCGCCGCGTCCCCGCCGCCGTCGCAGCCGCCGCCCGCCGAGGGCTTCCGCCTGCTGCTGCTGCAGCGATCGCAGAGCCAGGGCTTCCTGCCCGGCGCGCACGTCTTCCCCGGGGGCGTGCTGGACGCCGCCGACCGCTCGGCCGACTGGCTGCGCCTCTTCGCGCCGCACCACGGGCCACCGCGCTTCGGCCTGGGCCCCGCGCCGCCGCCGCGCGCCGCCTTCCCGGGGCTGCCGCCGCTCGAGCCCGCGGCCGGCCAGCCGGGCGGCGCCGGGGACGCGGGCGCGCTGCCCGATGACGTGGCCTTCCGCATCTGCGCCATCCGCGAGACCTTCGAGGAGGCGGGCGTGCTGCTGCTGCGGCCCCGCGGGGCCCCGGCCGCCGAGCCGCGCCGGCCCGCCCGCTGCCGCGCGCCGCCGCCCGGCCTGGAAGAGTGGCGCGCCCGGGTGCGCCGCGACCCGCGCCACTTCCTGCGCCTGTGCGCGCACCTGGACTGCACGCCCGACATCTGGGCGCTGCACGACTGGAGCGGCTGGCTCACGCCCTTCGTGCGCGTCGGCGGCCGCCGCTTCAACACCGCCTTCTACCTGTGCTGCCTGCTCGAGCCGCCGCCCGTGCACCCCGACTCCGCCGAGGTGGTGAGCTGCCAGGTGAGGGCAGCTGGGGCCCGGCGGGAACCCCCGGGGAGCGAGCCCCCCGTACACACACACACACGCGCACACACACACACACACACACACACACACACACACACACCCCAAAGCCCCCAGGGAGTTTGTGGGCATGGACCCAGGTGACCCCTGCAGCCCAGCAGCAGCCCCTGGGGATCCTACAGTAACCCAAGTGGGCATGGACCCAGGTGACCCCTGCAGCCCAGCAGCAACCCCTGGGGGTCCTACAGTAACCCAAGTGGGCGTGGACCCAGGTGACCCCTGCAGCCCAGCAGCAGCTCCCCAGGGCCCCTACAATAACCCAAGTGGGCGTGGACCCAGGTGACCCCTGCAGCCCAGCAGTAGCCCCTGGGGGTGCTACAGTAACCCAAGTGGGCATGGATCCAGGTGACCCCTGCGGCCCCAGTAGCAGCCCTTGGGCGGGGGTCGTACAATAACCAAAGTGGGCATGGACCTAGGTGGCTCAGGAACAGCCCCTCGGGGAAGTGCGCTCTGCGCTCCTGGGCTTCACCGTCTCCCTGGCCCCACTCAGCAGGCCAATGACCAGCCAATGCCCAGCCGATGATGCCTCTTGCCCTGACATCTCTGACAGACCCGAGACCTCCGCTCTAGGAAGTCTCTTTCTTTCTTTCTTTCTTTCTTTCTTTCTTTCTTTCTTTCTTTCTTTCTTTCTCTCTCTTTCTTTTTGGGTCACACTGCTTTGCGCTCGGGGAGCCTGTGGGGTTCGGGGATTGAACCCTCTGGGTGTCCGCGTGCCAGGCAAGTGCCCCAGCTGCTGTCCTCTTTGTGTGGGCCGCTGCCAAGTTTCTGCGACTTGATGGATAAGCATGATATGATCTATACTGCGGAATCTCCTTTGTACCCAAGCCAGCAGGCCGAAGTGTTCACTCTCTGGTAGGGTTCGATGTAGTGTTCAATGTGCAGATAGCTGCTTTCAGGTCTTCCAAATTGTTGACTCAGTCGACTGGGTATTGAGCAGATGCTGAGAGTGCCAGCGGGTCTCTTGCGAGTTCCTTCACATTTTACTTCATTGATTTTGAAGCCCTTTCGTTCTCTGTTGTGTGCGCATCTAGAACCGAACAAGGGAACCTTTTAGGACAATTCGAGCGTCTTCTGTAATCCTTGACAATCGTGCTTATTCTGAAATCCAAGTCTTCTCGCTCCCCCTATCTTGGCCACTCGTTTTGACTGGCAATACAGTATTTAACTTGTCCGTATTTTATTTAAAGTACGCTTTCGTTAGATAGCAGCATCGTAGGCAGTGTGACCATTTCTGCCTCTTACAGTATTTACATCATGAATCTACCACCTCGCTGTTTTTTCCTCTTTTTTTAATCTGACCTGTCAGTTGTTAGCATTTTCTTCTTTCCCGAATTCATTTTTGGATTATTTGAGTATTTTTAGGACTTATCTTCTTTCTCAGACACCTTACCAACCATGTCACAAGAGTCTTCTTTTCATCCCTCCACTTTTTTATGTTATTGATTTCATACGTTTGACTTTTACTTCTATTATAAACCGTATAGCAGACTGATTAGTTATGTCCCAACATTTTTGAAGATTATAAAAATGGGGGTAAATGTCTTTTGTGTATATAGACATACATATACATACATAGAGAATCTCCTTAGCAGTCTTCATTTATGTAGGGTTAATAATCTACACTTATTTATATCTTTGGCTAAAGAACTTACTCTCCTGGAATTAACTGTAATTGCCAGAAAAATAGCTTTCCTTTTTTTCAAAAAGCTTGTTTGGCTGGGTATAGAATTCTAAGTCAACTTCCTTTTTTGGTCAATAGAGATGTTGCTTTGTTATTTTCTGGTTTGTATAATTTTCTGTTAGGAATCTGCTTTTAACTCTGTAATCTTGTTTCTTCTTCTTTTTTTTTTGGTATGTGACTACTTTACGTATTTACTCTCAATCATTGCTGATGGCAATTTGATTATGATAATGGTACATCATCTTCTATTTTGGTTTGGTTTGGAGCTTGGTGCTACACCTGACAATGCTCAGGAGGTAGTGTGTGGAATCGAACTCTGGCCTCCTGTATGCAAAGCATGTGCTCACCCTTTTGAGCTATTTCTTAGGTCCACATGGGTGTTTTTTTCTTCATTTCTTTGAATATTATTCATGTGTTTTTCTGAGACTCTTGGTCACATCTATGTTCACCTCCTTGATAATGTCCCACAGGGTCATGATTTTTCTTTTCAATCTTTTTTCTTTTATGTACTTTTTTTTTTTATTGAACCACTGTGAGATACAGCTACAAAGCTTTCATGTTTGAGTTTCAGTCATACAATGATGTAACACCCATCCCTCCGCCATTGTACATTTTTCGCCACCAATGTCCCCAGTATCCCTATGTACTTTATTTTAATAGATTCTAATTTTCTCTTCAAACAAGGTGATGTGGTGTGTGTGTGTGTCTGTGTGTCTGTGTGTGTTTGTGTGTGTCTGTGTCCAGAGATCAGATCCAGGTACTCAGAGCTAAGTGCTTTACACATATTGTTTCATGTGGAGTGTGTGTGTGTGTGTGTGTATGTGTCTGTCTGTCTGTCTGTCTGTCTGTCTGTCTGTCTCTGTCTCTGTCTCTGTCTCTGTCTGTCTCTCTCTCTCGCTCTTCAGGGATCAGAACTAAATGTTTTTTATATATATATTTTTCCTTTCTTTTTTGTTTTTGGGCCCCACTGGCTCTAATCAAGGTAGGGCTCTAATCACTCCTTGCAGGATTCAGGCAAGGCAGACTCTCTACACCCAGGTACTATCTCTCTTGCCTCTATTTTTCTTTATTTTGTTTATTTTGGGGGGGGGGTACACCCAGCAGTGCTCAGGGTTACTCCCTTCAGATATTTTTCTTTCACTTGTTTTGTTTTATGTTGTGTTGTGTGGGGCCACACCTGGTGGTGCTCAGGGCTTACTCCTGGCTCTAAATTCAGGATCACTCCTGGCAGGCTCAGGAGACCATATGGGATGACAGGGTGCTGTGTGTGAGGCAAGGCCCTACCTGCTGTACTATTTCTCTTTCCCCAAAATCATCTTCATTTTTTGTTTTGAAGCCACACCAGGAAATGCTCAAGGGCTCCTTGGTGCTCCAGGATTGCTCCTGGCTTTCCCCAAGGAACCATGCAGTGCCAGGGCTAGATCCTGGGCTTCCTGCATGTAAAGCATGAGCTCAGCCCCTTGAGCTTTCTCAGATTCCCCAGAAACCTCTCTTCAGAAGTTCCATTTAGTTATCTTTCCACATATTCTCTTCTTTTTTCACCATGAGCTGCTCGTGTTGTTGAATCAAATAGAATATAATATCACAGTGGGGTTTTTTTTTCCAGGATTTGATGCAATTTTTAAATCACATTAATGAAGTTGTAAATTAAAGACAAAGAATGAGATCTAGAGATTTGGATTTTAAAAGTCTGGAATCTAAATCCTTGTGCCATTACCCAAGAACAGCTTTACCAAAATTGCTTTCCTTCGAGTTCTTTTTCTTTTTTTTTTTTAATTTTTATTTATTTATTTATTTATTTTAGTGAGACACCATGAGGTACAGTTGTAGATTTACAAATTTTGTGGGTTTCAATTATACAATGATCAAATACCCATCCCTCCACCAGTGCCCATTTCCCATCACCACGGATCCCAGTATCCCTCCCACCCCCCATACCCCCCATCCCACCCTGCCTCTGTGACAGGGCATTCCCCTCTGTTCTCTCTCTCCTTTTGGGTGTTGTGGTTTGCAAAAGAGGCATTGAGTGGCAATCATGTTTGGTCTATAGACTACTTTCAGCATACATCTCCCATCCTGGGAGGATCCTCCCAACACCCTTTATTTGGTGCTCCCTTCTCTATCTGAGCTGGCTTTTCCCCTAGCATGTGTGACTGGCCTCCAAGCCATGGATCAAAATTCCTGGTACTAATCTCGGCCATTCTTGGGTGTTAGTCTCCTATTTTGTTACTTTATGTTCTCCAGATGAATGCAGTCTTTCTATGTCTATCCCTCTCTTTCTGACTCATTTGCTTAGCATGATACTTTCCATGTAGTACCACTTGTATGTAAATTTCATGACTTCATCTTTTCTAACCACTACATAGTACTCCACTGTGTAAATGTACCAAAGTTTCTTTAACCAGTCATCTGTTCTCGGGCACTCAGGTTTTTTTTCCAGATTCTGGCTATTGTAAATAGTGCTGCAATGAACAAACAAGTGCAGATGTCACTTCGACTATACATTTTTGCCTCTCTGGGATATATTCCCAGGAGTGGTATTGCTGGGTCAAATGGGAGCTCAATTTCTAATCTTTTGAGAATCGTCCATACTGTTTTCCAAAAGGGCTGAACCAGTCCGCATTCCCACCAACAGGATATCACAGTGGTTTTTAATGTTACTTCACTCAATTCCATCATTTCGGTAATTTCTGGGTCTTTTTCTGTTCTTTTTTTTTTTTTTTTTTGGTTTGGATTTGGCTTGGGGTCATACTTCACTATACTCAGGTCTTAGGGATCACTCCTGGGGGTGCTACATGGTGACAGAACCCAGGTTGACCACAAGAAAGTCCAACACCTATACTCACTGCATCGTATCTCCAGCTCCTGATTTTTCTTTTTAGTTATGAGAATCAAGAGCCACATTTTCTTCTGCTTCTTCATAGGTCTTGTGATTTACTTATTTGCCTCACACAGTAAGTGCTCTGTTTCTGAAGTAAACAGAATACTCCCAGCCTGCTGTTGTTTTTTTTTTTTTGTAGAGATTGGCAATCTTGATTCAATTTTTTTGTTTGTTTGACTTTATGTTTTTTTTCATTTGTTTGTTTGTTTGTTTGGGGGCCACATCCAGTGGTGCTCTGGGGTTACTCCTAGCTGTGCACTCAGGTATCACTTCTGACAGGCTCTGGGGGCCATATGGAATGTCGAGGATGGAACCCGGATCCAGGGCACGCACAGCAAGTGCCCTACCCGCTGTGCTATCTGGCCCTGATTTAATGTTCTGGAGCATTTAAAGGGTATTGAGATTTGCCTCGGCAGAGTCTGGCAAATTCCCCGTGGTGTACCCAATATGCCAAATACCAGTAACAATGATGGGTCTCGTTCTCCTAACCCTGAAAGAGCCTTGAATATGGCACTCTTTAAAATCTCAGGGCTAGGATGAAGGAGACGTTACTGGTGCCTGCTCGAGGCAATCGAAGAACAACAGGATGATCATGATCGTGATTGTGAGATTTGCCTGCTGGGAAGTTGAGTTATTGCAAATTACCAGGATCTTTATAAAATTTATTCAAGTGGGCTTTGGGAAGGTTTATAGTAGTCTTTATACTAGAATTAATTGTAAGGATCGCTCCCCTAATGAATGATAGGCATCAAGGTCTCTTCACTATGGTTGGAAGGAATTTGAAAAATTCCTGGCCCACTGTGAGTCCTGGGAATCCTTAACCTTAAAGCTTGTTTTGTTTGGTTTTCTGAGGAATCACCGTTTTCTTATGTTGGGTAAGATTCACGGACACCTTGAGATTGCTGGAGCTCTACTGCCTTCCATATTCTAGCCAGGCAGAACCTTTCCCAACCTGGTCACCATTTCCAGATTCCATGGGAACCCTGCAGGGTAACTCCCTTCCTGAGCTCCATTCTGTAAATTACCTTTAGGCCAGATGTCTGGCCCTGGTTTGTTTTCCCTTCCTTATCATTTACAGTGGCACATTTTTTTTTAAGTACCTGGAAATGATTTGACAGACTTTTTCCACTTCTCTTATTGTTTTCCGTGTGCTAGGGGAAGGCAGTTCTGGAACTCAGGACTGGAAGGACAGGTTCTCAGCTGGCTGTGCCTGGCTGACTCCACTCCGGGTACATTTCGTCATGTGTACACGCACTTGCGGTGATCATAACTAGGGTTGTTCTGGGTGGAGTTGAGGGTAGAACTGAGGTTGCTGCTAAGAATTCTTTCATGTATGGGCCCGCCTCCCACAGCAGAAATATGGAGCCTAAAGTGTTCAGAGTCCCAAGGTGTGGAGACCACCTTCGACCTTTGAACCCACCTACTTCCTCTACGCCCCTTCCCTCCCTCAGAGGTTTTTATTCCCCTGCCCCCCTTTGGTTTGGGGGCTGCACCCAGTGGCTAGTGCTGCCCAGGCGTTACTCAAAAATCATTTCTGTGCTCAGGAATCACACTCCTGGTGGGATTTAGGGGACCCTAGGGGATACTAGGGATCAAACCCTGGTCGGCTGGTGCAAGGCAAATGCCCTACCACTGTACTCTCTCCAGACCCCCTTCAGAGATTGAAGTCAGATTTCTTATTTTTTTAAGAGGACCCTACCTGCATTTCCACATCTGTAAAATAAGGATATGCTGGGAGGTGCTAAGGATTGGAAATATTTTACACAAAGCGTTCTAAGCCATACTTTCATACTAACAAATCACCAACCATACACACTATTTTCACCTGAACTAGACTAATCTGAACATGTTGAATGAGGTAGTTTGGTGTCTGCAGTGCTCCAGCATACTACTAGCTCTGTACTCAGGGATCACTCTTGGTGGTGCTTGGGGAAGCTTATGGGGTGCAGGGGATCATACTTGAGTTGGCTATGTGGCTAGCAAGTACCCTATCTGCTGTACTATCTTTCCAGCCTTTCCTCTTATCCTTTCACCTATCACTGAAATTAAGCGGAATTGAGAAAGCGGAGAGCTTGGGTCACAGTGTAGAGATGTAGGAGCCTTTGAAGAGGAGCTCAGTTTTCCCGAAATGCAGCCTTTTCTCCTTCAGAATTATTGGGGATATTTGTAGCACTGTCCTCCCGTTGTTCATCAGTTTGCTCGAGCGGGCCCACTAACATCTCCATCGTGAGACTTGTTACTGTGTTTGGCATATTGAATACATCATGGGTAGCTTGCCAGGCTTTGCCGTGCGGGCGAGATACTCTCGATAGCTTGCCGGGCTCTCCGAGAGGGGCGGAGGAATCGAACCCGGTTCGGCCGGGCTGGCTGTGAGCAAGGCAAACACCCTTGCCCATTTCCCTAGAGAAGTACAGCAGGTCAGCCGGGAGGTTTGCTATTTAAGAATGTGTAAATTTGCGACCTTTGTCATCCACGGTTGGAAAAGAATTCAGCTCCCTGCATATGGATGTGGGCATCAGTTTCCTCCAATGCCAGTAGATATTTAATATACTACGAAAGAGCAGCTGGGGGCTACCTCGGATGCAAGAAATCAGCTCCGCCCCCTCCCCCCCCCCGCCCCCCCCCCCCCCCCCCCCGCCCCTTAATCCTGGTGTGTGGAAGAAGAGCTGGTCCCAGCAACAAAGACTGAGGTTAAGCAGGCAGGTTCTGGCTGGTTGATGCCCTGAAGTTCTTAGATTCCCTAGGCTGGAGGCTGCCTGTTGGCCTTCTGGAAAGTTCCCCCCACTCCCAACATGACTCCGTTGTAGCATGTGACACAGCTGCAGATGTTGCAGACATCCTGGGCCTCAGAGTGCTTTGTTGTCTTGTCACCTAGCCTGTCTAAGAATAGGTGGTCACCAAATTCTCAGCCTGCTGTCCTGAGTTTGCATTTGATGCTTTCTGTCTTTGGAAATGCCCAGCACCGTAGTTCCTTCTTATCGGCTCCGGCAACAGTGCCTGGCAGCTCCCCTGACTCCACCTCTTTTCATTTAATAGTTCTCCTGGTCGGGGTCCAATAATCCACCTCCTGAGGGGGAATTTCCCAGATTTCCTCACAACAATCTTTTTGTGTTGACTCAGGGATTTTGCACGTCACATTCATAAGTTAATTTCACATCTTCCCTTAGGTCTCAGATACTGCACCAACAATTTCATGTGTTGCATTGCCTGTGGAATAATCTCTTGGAAACTCTCCCTTTTCTTCCAGTGGTTCTCTCCATCAGAGGCGATTGAAAGTTTCACGTCAAAAGAAATTTGGTTCGCACCCCCTCAGTTCTATGAAATGAGAAGACTTGAAAATTTTGCCTCTCTCTCTGACTTGCACAAATTTTGTTTGGATCATGCACTGGAAGGGGTAGAGAGATGGATGCCCATCACATTAACAACTGCTGATGGAGTGCTCCAGCTCTTACCAGGTAAACCAACGAAGCATCAAACTCTTGTTAGAATGCACATTTAACATACTGGGCTGCATGGTCTTATTGCCAACACAGATGTTGAGTTATAGTCAGTGTTTTATGCATTATGGCAGTATCAAATATGTGTTAAGGTTAAAGTCTCAAAACGGTCACTGTCACTGTCCTCCCGTTGTTCATCGATTTGCTCAAGCGGGCCCAGTAATGTCTCCATCGTGAGACTTGTTGTTACTGTGTCTGGCATATTGAATACGTCACGGGGAGCTTGCCAGGCTCTGCCGTGCGGGCGAGATACTCTCGGTAGCTTGCCGGGCTCTCCGAGAGGGGCGGAGGGATCGAACTCGGGTCAGCCATGTTGGCTGCTTGTAAGGCAAATGCCCTACTGCTGTGCTATTGCTCCAGCCCTTGAAAACATCCATAATATTTTTTTTTAAATTTTGGACTACACCCATAGATGCTCACACATCTCTGAGCTCACACACCCAGAGTTACTCCTGGCTCTGCACTCAAGAATCACTCCTGGCTGTGCTTGGGGACCATATGGGATGTCAGGGATAGAACTTGGGCTGACCATGTGAAAGGCAAGCAAGAGCCTTACCCACTGTGCTAGTTCTGTGATGCTAACAAAATACCCATAGTATTATAGACAGATACTGACTAAATTATGCTCACATAAGCACATATATGTACAGACTGTTTAAACTTTGACGTTCTTATATATAATCTCACTTTCTAATTTCTATTTATTTGAAGGACAGCATACACCGGTGGTATCCAGAGTCAAACCCAGGGCTCCCACATGCCAGGCATGTGTGTCAACCCATGGAGCATCTCCTTGGCCCACTTTTTATGTTTTAATTTTGTTTTTGTTTTTTTTGTTTTGTTTTGTTTTGGTTCTTGGGCTGCACCCAACCATGCTCAGGACTTCTGGCTGTGCACTCAGGGATCACTCCTGGAAGTGTCCAGGGGACTATATGGGGTGCTGGAGATAGAATCCAGGTTTGCTGCATGCAAGGGAAGCACCCTACCCACTGCTATCGCTCCGGCCCCTTTAATTTTGTTTGCTGGGGTCACACCCAGCAGGAGACCATGTGTTTGGGGGCTCCGGCATGTGAAGCATATGCACTCCAGCCTACTGAGCTATCTCCCCAGCTCTACATTTTAATTTTGAATCATAAGAAATTGCAAATTATTAACTTAATTGAATTAGGAAGGTTGCAGGTGGATGAGAGTTTTTGGGGTGAGCTCAGGACTAAGCATTTGTAGCACACAGAGCAGACCTTGTGACCTGTATGCATGGCTTCCTGTCTCCTTCATCAGAATAGTAACAATCTTTGTTTGTTTTGTAGGGGTGCCAGAGAGCAGTCCGTTGGCCTCACACAAGCCAGGCAAACAGTCCCCCACTAAGCTAGGTCCTTAGTTATATGGTGATAGTGTTTGTTACTCTATCTGCAGGACAGTCATTGACGTTTGTCTGCTTTAACCTTGAAATGGTTAGAGCCGTGTACACTGAATTGCCAAAAATATGGCTGTCCAGGCCAATATTAATATTTGAATAGAGTAATGAGCTAAAATAGGAGTTAAGAGTTCATGATGAAAACAAACCACTGTCACTGTCACTGTCCTCCCATTGTTCATCGATTTGCTCTAGCGGGCCCAGTAATATCTCCATTGTGAGACTTGTTACTGTGTTTGGCATATCGAATATGTCACGGGTAGCTTCCCAGGCTTTTGCCATGCGCGCGAGATACTCTTGGTAGCTTGCCGGACTCTCTGAGAGGGGCGGAGGAATTGGGTTGGAATAGGGTCACCCGGGTTGGCCGCGGGTAGGCAAACGCCCTACCCACTGTGCTACTGCTCCAGCCCGAAAACAAACCGCTCATAACTATTTATACAACCCCCAAATTCTTTTTTCTTTTCTTTTAGTGGTACTGAGAAGCAAACTCAGGGCCTCAGCACACTTTATCACTAAGCTCCATATTCTACCACTCAGCTACCTGTTTGCCTCACATATGTAAGGCAAGAACTCTCCCACTAAGCTACATTCCTCCTAAATTCTTAACTGAGGATTGGGTCAATGGGAGAGGTCTTAACACAAGAAACAAACGGAGATAAGCTCATAAAGTTAGGATTATTTGATAGCTATCTGAGTCCTAAAGGCATGACATAGATTTTTAAAAAAAAAATTACTACCTTTATATTAATTTCATTGAAATCCTTTATACTAAATAAAATTAAAATGTTGTTTTTCAGGGGATGAACTGTACATCGAAGACTCAAAATTTATAGACAGCAAAATGTCCACTGAGAAAAAGATTGAAGAACTCATGAAGGAAGGCAAAAAATTTCATCGCGTGGTGATACACGACCGCCACCTTTATCATATTCATGTGACTATTCCGTCCAAATCTAAGTATTTGTACCCTAAGAACTCTGGCGTCAGTAAGAGCCATCTGTAAGACGTGCTTTGGAAGGTGGCCGCCTTCTGGTTGGCCTCACGTTGGCTGAGCCTCCTCCCAACTGCAGGTGTGCTGTGCCTGCAGGGGTTAAAATACAGTCTTCCGTGTTTCAAGTGTTCTGTGGAGTTCTCAGGCTTATTTTATTTGTCAAACTTTATGGAGTATTTCATAAGCATAAAGTATTATCTTGTTACCAGACTGAGATCAATGGTTCACAAATGATCCTACTTTGTATTGCTACTCTTTCAGAAGTTTAAATAGGATGTTCCACTGCCTTTGTCTTTAATTATCCGGTGCACTGGTACTTTTCTTGGTGTGTTTGGAGATTCCCTAGACTTCTTGTTGGAGTTCATTTAAGTGTGTTTGATTAGACTGCAACAACTTTCAGGGGACAGTGTCATTATTTTCTTGTCTTTCGCTTGATGACTAATGAGACATTTTAAATCAAGTGGCATTCATTACTAAGTTTAGCAAATTGCAGTTGTTTGGGGCAGTATTTTAAAGAAATACAGAACTATAACAAAAGCTATACTAATATTATTTGTTGATATTTTGGGTCACATCAGGCAATACTCAGGGGCTTGGGGGTTCATTCTTGTCTATGCTTGGCTGGGGATTGGGCCCAGGTCTTCCACGTGCAAAGCATTCATACCAGCAGTTGGCCGAGTCCTGGCCCAGGTGTCATAATTGTTCTTACAGAGAGTAGAGAGCTCTGTCATTTCAAGGTGTTTCAGTGGTGTTCACTTCCAGTGTTTTTAATATGGGTATGTTCTTTTGCCTCCTTTTAATAGGAATAATGTTAATAAAGATGGGTACTGGTTAAGACTGTTCTGTTCCATACTTTTGATACATACATTTTTGACTATGTGCAATTTCATTTTCTCATAAAATGTTTTGGTTTTCCTACCTATAAAACTGAGGCATTGATAACGTTTTGTGTTTTATTCAGTCCCAAGTAGGAGAATGCGTTCTGGTCTGTGGTTCTCACATTTTTACTTCAGGCGACGTTAGTATCTGAAACATTTTTTGGTTCTGAGATGTCAGAGTGAGACGCTATCACCACCTAGTGGGGACTGGCCATGGGCGCAGTTACTCTCCCAGGCACCGATGGACTAGAACTGGAAGATGGGGAATGCACCCTCAAAATTGCAGTTGCATGGAGTGGAGGGATGAAAGTCTCTTTAACACATTGTTCTGGAAGAACTAGTTAGCCTTGCGAGAATAATGAAAATGGGTCCCTATCTCACACCATACACAAACAATCAAAGGGGATGAAAGATCTTGTTAGACCTCAATCTATAAAGTAAGTTGAAGAAGACCCTGTGACAATCTCAGATTCCAGTGACAAAACGAAAGTGAAAATAAGGAGCTGGGACTGCATGAAGCTACAAGTGTTTGCACTGCAAAGAATATTTGGCTGAAATAAAAGGACACCTTAGCAAATGGGAGAAAGGATTTATATACCATTTATCTGACAGAATCAGGTATAACATAGTAATAACCAAGATATACTAAAACAAAGTTTAGCAACATAAAAAAAAATCTCATCAAAAAGAATGTGGAGGAGAAATGAAAAGACATACTCAAAGACAAATGACCAAATAGCATATGAAAAAGTATTCATCGTCACTGATTATCAGGATGTGCAAATCAAAACAACAATCCTCAGACCTGTGAGGTCAGCCTGTATAAAAAAGAATGAAAACCAGTATCAGCAGGAATACAGTGAAAAAGGGACCCTCACTCAGTATTGTCTGGTTCAGATGCTATGGAAAAAAAGTATTGCGATTTCTCAAGAAATTAGAAGTAGGACTCTAATATGAGCCAACAATTTCATTCCTTGACAGTATATTAAGAACATTAAATCATTACTGTGAAACTCTTTTCACACCTATGTTCACTGCAGTGCTGTTTACAATAGCTAAGATCTGGAAGCAACCCAAAGGCCCAAGGAAAAATGCATCAAGGGGTTGTAGTCAGTGTACACAAAGGGTATTCAACTGTAAGAAAAGATAAAATCTTGCCTTTGTATTAGAATGCAGATGGAGTCAGAGCAGATTGTGTTAAGCAAATAAAAACCAGAGTGAGAAGGATAAATACCAGTGATGATCTCATACAAAGAAACAAAGCAAAGGAATCAACAATATCCAATGATAACTAACCCTTGGACTTTGACTGCCTAACTGTGGTTACTAAGTGGCCTGGTGGACTGCTGGTCGGGAGGAAGAAGTGGATTAAAGTGATTTAAAAGGACAGTCTTTGGTACTTTGGTACTTTGGTAGTGGTGGCAGTAACTTTGTGTACCCTAAGTATTAACACCATGGTAGTGTTTCCTCAATACAGTAACAAAATTGAACTCTAGGCTTGTTCTTCAAGCCTGTGTTTCCCCTTAAGTATATGTCTCGCTTGTCTCTTTTTTTTTTCTTTGCTTTTCTTTCTACTCTAAAACCCATGTTCTTTCCTGAACGTGGATTTCCTCTCCTCTCCTCTCACATCTTTCTAAGTAAGTTTGTTTCAATAAAAATGATCTTGCTTCACACACACACTTAAAAACACACATACTGTACTCTTAAAAAAACCAATAAAAAGACAAACTTTTTAAAATGAGGGGTGCTGGAGCAACAGTACTGCGCGGGTAGGGTGTTTACCTTGCATGCACCAGACCCGAGTTCGGTTCTATCCCTGGCACCCCATATGGTCTCCTGACGAGTGTTCCTTCAGTACAGAGCCAAGAGTAAGCCCTGGGAACCACTGGATATGAGCCAAGAACAAAACAAAATGTTTTACGATGGTGGACAAAGCGTATAGCTGGTAGGATACAGCCTTGCACATGGCTGACCCAGGTTTGATTTCCCCCAAGCACCATCAGGAATAACTTTTGAGTGCAGAGCCTGGAATAATCCCTGAGCATTGCCAGGCGTGGCCCCCCAAATTCTTTTTTTACATGGAAGAAAATATTTACAAGATGACACATCTGGTGAGTGATACTATCCAAAATATATAAGGAGCTCAACAAGGCCCCAGACAATAATGGGCGAAGGACTGGAAAAGACTTTTTTTTTCCTAAAGAAAACGTTCAGATAGCCAATAGGTACATAGGAAGATGCTCAAATCACTAGTGGGGAAGTACAAATCAAAACTGCAGCTAGCAAACCACTCAAACCACTCAAAATCCATTCAGATGGCAATCTAAAAAGAGCAGATGACCGGAGCTGGTGTGGATATTTTCCCTTTGCAATCCTGGTGAGAAAAAAAATTGTGTATCAGATACCAGAGAAAATAGAATGGAGGCACTGCTGAAAATTAGAATTTACATGTGATCCAGCAATTCTAGCTGTGGTATTTATCCTAAAGAAAGAAAACCACTATGTGTGCCCCATGCGTATTGCTGAATTATTTACAATAGTTAAGATGTGGAAATAACCAAAATGTTGGACAGATACATATTTTTTTCCACTTAGGATAATGCTTCAAAGTTCATACAATGGAAGTCAAAAGAAGGGGCCAGAACTACACAGTGGGCAGGGCTCTTGCCTGTACTCAGCTGACCAAGGTTTAATTCCTGGAACCCCATATGTTGCCCCCTCACCCCCCGTAGGAGTAATCCCTGATCATTGCCAGGTGTGGCCCAAACACCACCCCACACAAAATCCTGCCATTTGTAACAGTATGGATGAAGCATCATGGTATGTAAAAATAAGCCAGATAGAGAATACTATCTCATCTCACATGTGGAATCTAAAAAACAAAACAAAAAAAAAATTGGAACAGATCAAGTTAGTGGTTACTGGAAGGGTGGGGTGAAAGAATTAGATACAGGCGGTCAAAGGTACAAAATTAAAGTTCCACGGAGGTAGTGTACAGTATGATAATGCGTAATTATAGAGTGGTGGATTGCTCCATCCCGTGCAGCTAGTTGAACGTCAGCCGGAGAGAGGGATTGAGAGCGGAAGACAGGGTAGGGAGGACTGTATGAAACATACAGCAAGTTTATTATAATCCAAGCTCGTTTATATAGTCTTATTTTTGCAAGAGTCAGCAGGTTTCAAAAGCTGCGTAAACAATATGAATTAGGAAGTGCAAGCAACTTTATTTTTGCCAACGTTACTTGTTTTTCGGTTCCTTATCTCAGTCTTGGGCTGGAGCGATAGCACAGCAGGAAAAGGCGTTTGCCTTGCACGTCGCCAACCCGGGTTTGATTCCTCTGTCCCTCTTGGAGAGCCCCGCAAGCTACCGAGAGTATCCTGCCCGCACGGCAGAGCCTGGCAAGCTCCCCATAGCATATTCAATATGCTAAAAACAGTAACAGCAAGTCTCACGATGGAGACATTACTGGTGCCCGCTCCATCGTGGAGAAGCAGGCAAACCGGGAGGACAGTGCTACAGCGCTATCTCAGCCTTAAGAAACAAGCAATGAAGATGTAGCCTTGGGTCAAGGTGGATACAGGCCAACCTTCCCTTCAGCCTCCTCTTAAGTCCAGCCGCCAGAACCTGGTGGCCCTTCGGTTTTTCTCTTGAGGCTGGTCGCTGGAGCATGGTGGCCCTTCGGCCACCTGTCAGGGTCGGCAGCCAGGACATGGCTCTCCCTCACGCCAAGTTTCTCTACACCCAGTCCCTGTTTACAGGGACAGAGGCAGGGAGTGCCTGGGCCCGTGCCCAACAGAGGATGATTGTAGTTAGCAGTATGATTACGGTTCACAGAACTGTATTGCATATATGTTGTTTAAAAAAAGACCAATATCCAAGATATATAAAGCATGCTAAAAACTCAGCCAAAAAACAACCCCAGCAAAAAATGGAATGAGGAGATGAATAGACATTTCCTCAAAGAAGACAGGCCAACAGTCACAAGAAAAAATATCCATTTTCACTGATTATCAGAGAAGTGCAGATCAAACTGACAATGAGATACCATCTCACACTCGTGAGAATGACTATATGGAAAAGACAGGAAATAGTGCTGGCAGGGTTGTAGGGAAAACTCTCACTGTTGGTGAGAGTAGCTTCTGGAAAATAGTTTGGAGATTTCTCACGATTATAAGTCCATGTGACCCTGTCATTCCATTCCTGGGAACTTATCCCAAGAACACAAAAACAACCTGAAGAAGCGTATACACTTATGTTCATCAGTCAATATCTGGACACAATCCCAGTTCCTAACCGTTGTTGAGTGTTGAATGCATAAAGAAATAATGGAATACAACTATACAAATATACTGTAAAATGTATATTTCTGGGTTTCATCTCTTTAAAAATTTTATTTCATTTCATTTCATCATCCTGTTAATTGTCGATTGCCTCGAGCAGGCCCCAGTAACGTCTCTTTCATCCTAGCCCTGAGATTATATTCACGGCTCTTTAGGAGAATGAGACCCATCAATGTTACTGGTATTTGGCATATTTGGTACGCCACGGGGAGTTTGCCAGACTCTGCCCTGTGGGCAGGCTACATTCGATAGCCTGCAAGTTTGTCCAAAGTAGGAATGAGATAATAAGATGTCATAAAGAAAAGTTTTGATAAGACGTCGCGCGGCCAGGATCTGGATTTTATAGTCTCTGAGTCTTGGCCGCTGATGGGATTACACGGCGCCAGGGGGCCAGGTGGTGGGTGTGACCCCCGCCTACTGGAATTTGGAGGATCTGGGTGGAAGATGCTCGACTCCAATTCGAGTAGGCTTGGAGGTCTCGGCCCCGGAACCCGCGTGGCTTTGTCCCTCTGCCAGTACCTTCATGTGCTTTAAAAATTGTGGTCATTTATTACAGAGAAGATGAACTCTTGCAATCTGCTGCTACTTGGATGGAATTAGTGGGGGCCATGAGAAGGG